GCATATATGTTTGAGGGAGATGCAGGCTGTTTAAAGCAGGAACCTATTCTGTTTGTGGTTATTGTGCATGACAGGAAATAGAGGTTATTCAAAACCAACTCTAGATAAGTATTGATTTAAATGGTGTAGGATTCTGTAAGGATGGAAAGCAACTAAAACTATCAACTATGTCAGCCACTCCTGTGAGATAAAACCTTTTGCACGCCAATCAGATATCAATTTTGCAAAGATTCTTTCTGGAAGCAAGGATTTTTGTAATGACAAAAATGACACACCAATGTTTGTGTGTGTGTGTGTGTGTGTGTGTGTGTGTGTGTGTGTGTGTGTGTGTGTGTGTGTGTGTGTGTGTGTGTGTGTGTGTGTGTGTGTGCGCGTGTGTGCGCGTGTGCGCGTGTGCTTGTGTGTGTGTATCTTGCGGCGTGCTCATGTTAGCTCCTCAGATCCCCTGGTAATTGGAGGGAAGAGGAAAAATGATAAGAGACAGCTTGCAGCCTTACCAACGGTGCTGCAGGCTAACTAGCTTTGCCACAATCTTCCTGACTCTGTCAGAAGGCACCTTACCTTGGACAGCATGGGTTACCGTAGCAATTAAAAAATAAAATAAAAAGGGGAAGAGAAACATTAAACCAGTAGCCTTTCATTTTGACAGACATAAGTGGATCTATTTGCACACACCCTCTATTGTATTGTTTACTATTTGGTCATTTGGGAGACGCGTTCAGCATCTTCATCGTCAAGAGAGTTAAAGGTTAAGCATCTTGCTCAAGGAAACTTACAGTTAGGCTGTGGACATCGGGGATCAAACCACACACACACACACACTACCTCGAGTTTAGCTGTGAAAGTTTAGCTGTGAAAGTGGAAGTGGAAGACAGAGTTGTAGTGTAAAGTGTTATGGTGTTAGGGTAAAGTGTTATAGTGGAGATAGACCACACATGGCTCAGGGTGCCTACTGCTGCAGTCTGTTAGTCCAAAATGTGTCTCAGTACCTTACATCATCGACTGCTGTCATGGACATTATATGACGCAATTGTGTCTGCCCTTGCTGAACAGAACAATGTACTTGTAAGTATTCATATATCTTTACAGAGCCCACCCCCACTGCACCCCCCACGTCACGTCAGTGTTTTCATATTATGTACTGCTGCAATCTTCACAAAAATATCTGTGCTCTTTTGTACATGCTTTTTCCACCAAGTTATCCAAGGTAGCTGGTGCAATGCTGGCAGAAAATAGATTATGGAGACACAATCACAACATCTCATCTCAATCACAACATCAGGTGTTGTTCAACCCACAGCACAGATGTGGTAATAATACTTTAGTTGTACTCGCTTTTTGAAAAAGTTTGATCACACGCCTGTTAAACATACTGTATACACATGATCTTCCAATGCATTTTCACATGCAGAAAATTCTTAAGCACAAAGACCTACATGCACACATGCACGTACACACACACACACACACACAAACACACACACACACACACACACAAAAAAGTTGAAAAACTGACTGACTCTATATGCGTGTGTATTTTCTTGGTGTTTGTCCCTCTTCACGATGCAATGGATCCCAGCTTGATTTCCACAGCAGAACATGAGAGTGACAACATCCAGTTTTTTTTCAGTGTTGTCTTAACGTGGATTCCTGTTTGCTGAGCTGGGTTTCCGCTCTCAAATGGGCATCGCAGCACAATACAAACTCAGGACATTTGTCTGCACTTTTACTGCTCTCAGAGAATCACAGGCTGCAGTGCCTTATCACCAACGCTGGCTTTAAGATGTGCTTGTAAGATGTGCTTTGCATACGCATGCATTTGTGCACATACATAAGGGTGTGAGTGTGGATGTGTGTGTGTGTGTTTTTGTTTGTTGATTTGTTGTTTCTTTGTGTCTTGACTCTTAACGGCAGAGCAGATATCCTTCTGTCTTTTGTATGTGTGTGTGTGTGTGTGTGTGCGTGCGTGTCTGTGTTTTAGTGTTTAGTGTTTCTGCATTTCCATTGGTCTGCTGGTGATACATCACTTGAAGCGTTGGTGTGTTTGTAGTGTGCAAGATAAGAGCTAAACGCTGGGCCACCGGTGTCGAAATGGAGTCAGTTCATCATGACCATCCCATCACAGCCTGACATGCCCCTCACACACGGACCGGAGAACCATGCACGTGGGATGAGGGTGTTTTCACACTTTTCAGCCTCCGGACGAACTCAGAGCGATGAGTCAGCATTTCTGACTCCAGGCAACGTGACACAGGGCGCCACGGGCGTCATAGGTCGTGTCATAAAGAGGGACCACACCGAGAACACGCATCGACAATGAAACAGTTCTGAGATAAGAAAATGGTCGTAGACGCGGTGCCCACCATGTATTGATTCAGGATACGAGCAAAATATTTGAAAGAAGGGCCACAAAACCAAAAGTCAAATGTAATCACCATGATTGACTGTTGTTGTGTCGCTGCATGGGGCAGCAGCTGACACTAGCTGGTCAAAGTGTGATGGATGGGAGTCTTTGAGGCCTGAACAATGCGCTTCATTTCAGCGGGCGGCCATGGCACCCTCCAAGGACAAAATCAATATGCGGTGGAGGTGAACCCAAATCATTACCTCACTATCCACCATGGAGGACGAATTGTGCCACAGAAAGAAATTAAAGTCCCTGTAAAGCAAATTCAGAAATTTGTTTCTAATCATTTGAATGGCTGGGTGGTTAATAACCCCTTTTTCCTGTGGTGTGAAACTCAAAGCACATTACTATTGCTTTGCAGGGACTTTAAGGAATGTGTAATTATTGACCAATTTAAGGATTAAATTAAACAGCTGGCTTTACAAAACCATTATTAAATGTGCTATTGATAATATTCAGCCACTAGATATCACACTCCCTCCCTCCTATTGCATTCATGTCACAACCCAGCTGTTGCTGGAAGCACACACTCCCTCAAGCGGTCGCCAGTTTGTTGCTCAACCTGCATATGTTGTGGTGGAGCAGAGTGAGACTCAGACAGACTCAGTCCATGACAAGTGATGAATCTTTCATGGAAGAGTAATACATTCATTTTGCTGTAACCTATAGATTTAGGTTACCTTGTGGGGAGTAAAGCCACTTAGCCATGTTTCCACTCTAACTGAGAACCTTGACCGCTGACGACACAGAGATACCGTGTGATACCAACGTCGTTATACTATTGGCTCACAAGCCTTGTTAGAAGCGGGAACCAAACATCAGACATCTTAGACAGAGATGAACAAAACATTACCAAATATAATATATAATTATAATAACAAATATAACAAAACCCGTAAACGTTTTACAAGATAATTTCACAATCATCATATTTTTGGGGGAAAAGTGATACTTTTATCCCGCAGGACATATTTTATTGTATTGTATTGTGCTGTGCTTCAATAGACTTTATTCACCTAGTGGCCATATTGGTTGGAACCTTCGAGACACTTTGGAAACCATGGCAACGCAACCCTTTATTTTTAGTCCTGCATCCCAGTTCCCCACTCAGGCAGCATTTCTAAAATACATTTCGATTGAGTTTTAATGTTTTATTCCCCAAAGAGTCTAGGTTTCCCCATTAAACTAGTCTGACTCAGTGGATGTAGGTGGTTGGTACACGCCTGCCATTGGGCGACTATTTCAGTCGGCATTCTCCTCTCCTTCTGTGGCGAATGGATAACTGCACATATGTATCAACAGACTGTAATATCCTCACATAGCCACAAAGAAATAGAAATAAATATACAAGTTGTATTAACTGCACCTGAACACTAGATGGCGGCACACATAATACACTGGGGGCGGGCGCTCAACACTAGCCAATCAGAGCATATTATGCGTCATAGAGGCCACGCCTGCCCAGGTACTACCAAACAACACATGTGGGGGAGAGGGAGAAACCCCCAGGCAGCGTATCTGATAGATACCCAGCTAAGGGGGTCGCTCCACGCGTGAACTATACATACCCCTCCTTTCGCTTCATAGATAAATACCTAAAGCTAAACAAATAAAGTGAGTTAAAGCGATCCTGTGTCGGCAGCCTCCTTCCTCAATGAACATCACAACACTTCCGCTATCTGCGTGTTACGGTTTATAAAGTCCCCGTTACGTGAAACAACATCAACCTCCGAGCTAGCGACCTACATACTGAAAATAACTTGTCTTTGTTTAAGTAGCGTGGGAAATGAATTGCGTGAAGGAAAAGCAATAAGAAAATTAATACGGAAAAACAACTAGTGAAAGGGAACATTTAAACATCCTTTTAAAAAAGCCTTTATTAATTGATTAATTTACCCAGCATTAAATGCATGGTTTTATAAATCGTTTTTTAAATGTCTCTTTTAAAAGCAGTTGAATAATGGTTTTGTAAATCAAATTATAAATGTACTCTTTTAAGTGTCATTAATTCTTTCTGTGGCCTCCCCACTTGCAGTCCAATGCTGTGATTTTTCTAACGAGGTACCGTGATTAAATCTACAAAATCACACACTGCACTGCGACGACTGTGTAACGGTAATGCAAAGGTTCAGAAGATCACAAGGAAGGCAAAAACCAGTGTACGAAAAATAATTGTTTCTCGTATTTTCATCTGAGCCGTGGGCTGGAATTACTCTGTAAAACACCTGGGCTACTGGTGTCTCCGACATCACCCAATCCTTTCACATCTGATGTCGAAGCCCGGCATCAGCCCTGTAAGCTACGATTCAATTTCCCATCTGATGTGGAATAAATCCGGACCTCACTTTATCCCGTATTCGTGGAATTGTTGGAAGTCTATCTTGAGGGCATGGGCCAGTACGGATCTGATATCAGCTCTGCGATGTCTCCCCATATCTAACTGAGCCCCCCTCAGGGCTGGGAAGCTGAGCAGGAAGATATGAAGAGTCTGACTTCACAGTTCTGCTTGACCTCAGCTCACCTGAACACTGGACACACACTCGGGAAATGAGGCGCACACAACAATATGATGAAGCTGATGTGAAGACCTGAGTAGCTCAACTGGAAGAGCATGGCATTAACGTTGCCAAGGTTAGAGGTTCGATTCCGACTGGGACCACCCATGCTATAAATGTATGCACTCACGGTATTGTAAGACGCTTTTGATGAAAGCGTCCACCAAATGACACACGCATTTATATATGTTGCTGATGATGATAAAGATGTTGTTGATGAATATGGGGCTGATGATGAGGAGGATACATACAAAATGAAGATACAGGAATTGGAGCTGCAGCTATAGTGAAATGCATTTGTTTGTGTTTGTTTGGTTTACTGTTGACTTTGGCTTCTCAGTGAGAATATGAATCATGGATCCCATTGCAAAAACACACACACGTAAGCAATCTAAACATTGAGGAAAACAGACAATTATAATGACTTAATTATAGTTTTATTTCAAATTCAGTCACATCATTAAATATTATCATTTAACTAAAGCCTTTACTTATGTAAATTACAGTGAGCACCTTGCCCCTACTAAAATTATGACTGCTCAGCATTTGAAGAAACCAACAGTGAGCTGACCAGATTCAGCTCTATAGGAAAGCAGCACCATTCTCAGGACCTGGGAAGTAAAACAGCTGAGAGATAGCAGGGACTCACAAGGAGACGGATCTGCCTCTACTTCGGTGTCTTCACATACCTGAGGTTCATCAAGTCATCAACTCTACAGTATATTAACCCTGGTGTTTCATCTGTTCATCGTCAGGTCGTTGTCTTCACTCCGTGGTAGCGGAGTGAAGTTTCAGATTCTCTTAACAAATTACCAGTTCACTCATGTTTGTTATTTCCTCCTGTTCCTGCTCAGGATACTCCCCGCTTGTTTCCGAACCATCGCCTCTCTGACTACCTGCCTTTTCGTCGAACCATCACATCTCTGACTACCTGCCTTTTCGTCGAACCATCGCCTCTCTGACTACCTGCCCATTGCCGAACCATCGCCTCTCTGACTACCTGCCTTTTTGCCGAACCATCGCCTCTCTGACTACCTGCCTTTTCGTCGAACCATCGCCTCTCTGACTACCTGCCTTTTCGTCGAACCATGGCCTCGACAGATGCCAGATGGTGGCAGAAGAGAGAGGTGCAGGAGGTCTCAGAGAAGGCTCCCTGGTGTCTGGGGGGGTGAAGAGCACGTAGCTGGGGACTGGAGCCCTGGAGGGGTGAAGAGGGCCTACCAGAGGTTAAAGCAGGGGACTGGAGCCCTGGAGGGGTGAAGAGGGCCTACCAGAGGTTAAAGCAGGGGACTGGAGCCCTGGAGGGGTGAAGAGGGCCTACCAGAGGTTAAAGCTGGGGACTGGAGCCCTGGAGGGGTGAAGAGGGCCTACCAGAGGTTAAAGCAGGGGACTGGAGCCCTGGAGGGGTGAAGAGGGCCTACCAGAGGTTAAAGCAGGGGACTGGAGCCCTGGAGGGGTGAAGAGGGCCTACCAGAGGTTAAAGCAGGGGACTGGAGCCCTGGAGGGGTGACGAGGGCCTACCAGAGGTTAAAGCTGGGGACTGGAGCCCTGGAGGGGTGAAGAGGGCCTACCAGAGGTTAAAGCAGGGGACTGGAGCCCTGGAGGGGTGAAGAGGGCCTACCAGAGGTTAAAGCAGGGGACTGGAGCCCTGGAGGGGTGAAGAGGGCCTACCAGAGGTTAAAGCAGGGGACTGGAGCCCTGGAGGGGTGAAGAGGGCCTACCAGAGGTTAAAGCAGGGGACTGGAGCCCTGGAGGGGTGACGAGGGCCTACCAGAGGTTAAAGCTGGGGACTGGAGCCCTGGAGGGGTGAAGAGGGCCTACCAGAGGTTAAAGCAGGGGACTGGAGCCCTGGAGGGGTGAAGAGGGCCTACCAGAGGTTAAAGCTGGGGACTGGAGCCCTGGAGGGGTGAAGAGGGCCTACCAGAGGTTAAAGCTGGGGACTGGAGCCCTGGAGGGGTGAAGAGGGCCTACCAGAGGTTAAAGCAGGGGACTGGAGCCCTGGAGGGGTGACGAGGGCCTACCAGAGGTTAAAGCTGGGGACTGGAGCCCTGGAGGGGTGAAGAGGGCCTACCAGAGGTTAAAGCAGGGGACTGGAGCCCTGGAGGGGTGAAGAGGGCCTACCAGAGGTTAAAGCAGGGGACTGGAGCCCTGGAGGGGTGAAGAGGGCCGACCAGAGGTTAAAGCAGGGGACTGGAGCCCTGGAGGGGTGAAGAGGGCCTACCAGAGGGTGAGCTGGGGACTGGAGCCCGGGGGCCAAGGAGAAAACACACTGAGGAGAAATGGAAATGATTGGAGCTTACGCAAGGAGGCCGGGCACAGCTCCCTGGTGAGGAGGAGACGAATTTCCTTTTTTACTCTAGCTCAAATGTCTTTCTCTCTCTCACTCTCTCTCTCTCTCTCTCTCTCTCTCTCTATAGACTCAGTCCCATATTATATGTAAGAACAAGTGCAGTGCAGTCTGTGCTTATTATCTACAAATAAAAAAAAAGAGACACGTCCACGCGCACGCCCACCCGGCCACACGCGCACACCCAGGGTCAGAGGGCAGCGAGCGGCGCGGAGTCCGACGAGATCATTATCACGAGAAGTCGGCGCCCAAATCAGCGGCAAAACTATAGCCACGCCGGACACACACGCCCGAGCAGTGCGACGACGGCGAAACGAAGGGGAGAAAAAAAAACAGCCGTCGTTATTGTTAACGTGATCACAGGCTCCCGCGTCGCCGAACGGCGGAGAGATGCTCCTGGAAAACGCAAGACCTCAGACCTCAGACCTCAGTTATTTTTTCCCCGGCATTAAAATGAAGGAAGCAACTGATTCCTCCGGCGGCGGCGTCGAGCTTCGCTTCCCGCCTTAACAACCTGCAGCTCTGTGGCGCGGGGCTGAGCCGCAGCGGCGTGGCGCACAACAGAGACTTCTGTTTCGTCTTCGGCGGCTCCCGAGCGCCCGGCCCATCTGCTCCCCCCACTGCGGCGTGTAAACAATACCAGGGCACACTAATGATGCACAAAGGGAAGTACTCCAAATATTTCATCATTAGCCAAACGTAAGTAGGCTGGTGTTTACCCCGCTGCGATCGATGCTCCTCCGCAATGTGGTATCGAGAGAGGGGAAATATTTGTTTAAAAAAGTGAGCTAGAGGGGGGGGGGGGGGGGGGGGGGGGGGGGGGTTAGAGAGAGGTGCTATGAATGGTTGTCACTGCATGGAACAAGAAGCTGAAGCCAGAAGAATAGAGAGGAGCAGAAACAATTAAGAGAAGAGAATGAGATAATGATAACCAAAGCACTTTGATCAAATAGAAATGGAATATGTATGACGCTCCCACAGGCCGGGCTTGCTAATTGTGTGTGTGTGTGTGTGTGTGTGTGTGTGTGTGTGTAGGGGCTGTGGTTTGAACTGTGTGTGCCAGTTTGCACACACAGCTTTAGTGTGCAGATTGCACACCACTCATCGTTTCCTCTGGAAGATAGTAATGTAAGATTCATCTGATGAACTCAATATGTCAACCATCACAGTCTGCTCTCAAAGAATAAATCCGGAGAGAGAGAGAGAGAGAGAGAGAGAGAGAGAGAGAGAGAGAGAGAGAAAGATAGACATGCTTGCAGAGTAGGATACAAGGAGGCAGAAAGCAGATCAGTCACAAGCTGAGAGGTAGAAAACCTGCTAAAGAAAAAAAAGTACAATGAAGAAAGACAAGATAAGAAGAACAAATAATGTAATGATCGTCTCTCTCTCTCTCTCTCTCTCTCTCTCTCTCTCTCTCTCTCTCTCTCAATAGGTCTGGATTCAATTGTGTTAATTTAATAGCGTAGCGCATACAGAGAGCTTCATATTCATATCCTATCCGGTTGGATGCTGTGCAGTCGCAGAAGGGGAATAACACGTCTGGTGAACCCTGGATCACTAAAGATGGCTAATGACTCCTCCTTTTCATCTGTTCATTAATAGCGCTAAACGTGTGTCTTAAAGGGTTAATCCGTTAAACGTGCAGCCTATAATTGAATCGTCGTTCCGCCCGGGCCACTGTGCTTGTTAGAGTTGTTCTTCACGAGACTTAAAAGAGCGGCTCAGCTCAACTTGAAATACTTTCACATTCTGCTGGCTCGGCTCAAACACTTGTATAGAAGGAGTCCTTTGAACGTTTCTGATCCGCACGCGCCAACACAAAGCCGGCTATGTTAACCAGATTATCTGCTGAGCTGTTTCCACGGTGGAAGGCGGAGGCAACCATTTTTTTCTTTTCTTTTTAATGTCACCTATTCTTCATATATTTTTTGAGCGTCACGTGAGCGCTTATTTCGGTAGACTTCATCCCGTTCTGTTTCCCTGTTTTGTCATTTACTCTCCTGTCACCCCCCCCCCCTGCCTCAATAATATCACTCTGATTGCCAACACCTGCAGCTCATCACCACCTCATTAGTTCGCCAGCACATACCGCCGGTTTCCCTTTGTCCTCAGATGCCAGATCGTCTTGTGTGTTTGCTTCCAGTAAAGCTTTCCCGCGTTATCCTGTATGTTATTCGTCGGTGACAAACTGCGCCCGTCTGATCGCCCTGCCTGTGTACGACCTGTTTATCTCGACTCTGGGTGACCTGCCTGCCCCTCGTCGGAATTGTTTGCCTGCCTGCCTTATTGGAACCGACCTCTGCGCCGGCCCCGCCCGACGACGTCTCTCTCCGCCTGACACATATATGTACCGTTACCCTGTCGGACCGATTGCCTCGTTTAGGCTCCTGCCTGTAAACCAATTACTGAGTAAAGAGCTTTTCATTTTACTCCTCTGTCCTCTGTGACGTGCTTTTGGGTCCATAGTCAGTAAAACCCCTCATGTTGCTGCATGACTCCATAATCATGCAGGCTCAGGTGATTAGGGGCCATATAGGTTTAATATTATCACATGGAAGCTAACCCTGTTATGCTTATTCTCGTGAGCTTGTGAATAGCAATAGAATGGGGCTTGCACATCAGAATGCATCATGGGATTTTTGTTGGCAATACTCCACCAAATTGAGAGAGGACTCAGGAGAGTTGTAGTTCTGTCAAAACCTAAATCAACGTAAATATACCTGTAACCCAGGCTAATGGAAACTGTTTTGCCACGTC